GGAGGAACCAGGACAGCGTGAGCAAGGGAAGTAGTGTGAATGTCTGCAGTTCCTGTCAGGGGGGTTAAAGGACGTTTAAGGGCTCTGGACTTTACCCTGGACACAATGAAATTTGATGTAGGATTTTGAGCAGGGAAATAAGATGTTCTACACAGATAATCATGTCACTCATGGACAAAGAGAGTTTTATTTCTCCCTTCCCAATCTATATATCTTTTATTTCTCTTTTTAGTCATATTGCATTAGCCAAGACTTCCAGTCTGATGTGGGGAAGGAGTGGTGGGAGGGGCTGTGATGGCTGAAGGGAGCATCTGGTTTCTCATCAGTCAGTGTGATGTCAGCTGTGGGGTTTTGCAGATGTCCTTTATCAAGTTGAAGCTGCTCCCTCTTCCCACTTGGGTGGGTGCTTTTATCATGAACTTTGGATTTTGTTGAATTATGTCCAGTGCTTTTTCTGCGTCTATTATGTGGCTTTTCTTTAGCTTGTAAGTGTGATTATATTCATAGACTTTTGAATGGTAATGAGAGTTCTAAAAGATCATCGTAGCTGCTCTAAGAGATGGAGGCGGTTAGGAGTGAGGGAACAAGTGTGGAATTGAGGAGATTGAATTTGAAATGCCTGGAGAACTAGTTTAGTGACCATGAAGATGTGAACTAGACAGCGGGAGTGGGAGGTGTTGTAGGTAGAATACACTGGGTGTTACTTTTCTGGAGGGGTTGTGAGGGACAAGGCAGGGAGGAGAGCACAGTGAGTCCCAGGCCTGGCTCTGCAGATGGGCAGGTGGTGCCCCTGGGAGACCACTGAGCAGTGTGTGAACCCTGGTACAAGCCCTGGGACTGGTGGCATGGAACCCTCGTGACCTCAGCAGGAGCAGGTACAGCACTGGTGGATGCCAAACACACTGGGGAACAGAGTCCTTGGAAGATGACACAGTGCAGACTGACTTTTCAGGAAGTTTGGGTGTAAAAGAGATTAAAGAAATGGGGCTGCAGGAAAACATCCTGGGAAGATGTTGTGTGGTCAGAAAGTCCAGAGTTGGCTTGAGGGCTGGCAGGGGTTTGAAGGAGAGAAAGTTTACATGCAGCCTCACCAAGGACATTTTCCAGCATGGACTTCCTCTCTTATGCACCACTCGCTTTTTAAAATACTCTATATTTTAGAGCAGTTTTAGGGTCACAGCAAAATTGAGGTAAAGGCACAGAGATTTCCCACACATCCCTGACCCCCCGAACACACAGCCTCCCCACTGTCAACATCGCCACCAGGTGGGACATTTGTCACCACTGATGGACCTGCACTGACATGTCATCCTCACCCAGAGTACATCAGGGTCGCTCTGTGTTGTACATCCTGTGGATTTCGACAAATGTGTGATGACCTGTGTCCATCGTGCCCGTACTATGCAGAGTAGATCCACTGCTCTAAACCCTCTGGGCTCCTCCTGTTCGTCCCTCCCCCCAACCCCATGGCAACCACTGATCTGTCACCTATCTCCACAGTTTTGTCTTTTCCAGGATGTCACAGAGTTGGAGTCACACAGTGTGTAGGCTTTCAGATTGGCTTCTGTCAGTCACATGCATTTTGGGTTCCTCCATGACTTTTCCTGGCTTCACAGCTCATTTCTTTTTAGCTGAATAATATTCCATTGTCTGGTTGTCCCACAGTTTATCTATCCATCACCTACTGAAAGGACGTATTAGTTGCTTCCAAGTTCTGGAAACTATGAACGAAGCCGCTATTATCATGTGCAGGTTTTTCTGTGGACATAAGTTTTCACCTCACGTGGTTTGCTGGTTGCATGGGAAGAGTACGTTTAGTTTTGTAAGAAACAGCCGAGCTGTCTTCCTAAGTGGCGGCACCATCTGCGTTCCCACCAGCAGTGAGTGAGGCTCCTGCAGCTCCTGTCCTCCCAGCATTGGGTGTGGTCAGTGCCTGGATTTTAGCCTAATAGGTTGGTAGTGGTGGCTCATTGCGGTTTTCACTTGCATTTGCCTGAAGACATGCTGTGGCGCATCCTTTCATGGGCTCGTTTACCATCTGTGTCTTCTTTGTCTGTTAAGGTTTTTGGCCCATTTTTAATCACAACATTTGTGTTCCACTGCTCATTTTTCAGTCTCAGCTTGGTCAGGTACTTCATATGTAAATTGGCTGTGTATGTGGTGTGTCTGTTCTGTCTTTAAAAGCCCTCCAGCTACTGGCCCACTTCCCAATCCCAGCAGAGAGTGATCCACATTCAGCATCTTAAGCCTGTCTCCTGAGATTCCCTATTGAATTCCCACGGAGCTTTTGCCTCCGCCACTCCAGCAAAATTACTGCAATCAAGGCTACTAACAGCCTGCACTTGACAAGTCCACTTGAGATCAGTCCTCACCTTACCCGCAGTCTCACTCGAGGCAAACGCTGACTCTGACTCGGCTTCAGGACTCGCCGCGCCCCGCCCGCGGGAGGAGCCTCGGGGCGCCCCGTCCTGGGGGCCGCTCGCGCTCCCGTCTCCAGACCCCACGCCCGGTCCGTCCCGAATCTTTGCTTCGTCTTCGGATCCGTCCAAGACCCACGGCCTCCTCGCACAGCCGCCCTCGCCCGCCCCAGGTCCGTCTCGCCGAGGACGAGGGCTCCGTGCGCCTCGGCACCCGCGCGGGTCCAGGGCGCGGGCTCCTTTCAGGGGTCCGGCGGTTTCACTCGTCCAGACCCGGCCCCGATTCCCTCTCCCTCCGGAAAACGCAGAGCGGAGGCCCCTCCCCGGCCGGCCGGGCGCAACCCCGAGCCCGCTCTCCCCGCACCCGCCTCGGCTGCGCCCGGGACACCGCCCCGAGGGGCCGGGGACGCTGCTGTCCCGCCTCGATCCCTCTCCGCGGCTCTGACCGCCCCGTCCCTGCACCCGGGCCCCTCCCGCCGACATT